CGTGTGGGGGACAGCCGGGGTATCGCCGCCCGCACGGGGACCCACAGTGCTCAGGGCTGCTCCATACGCTGCCTCTCTCCTCTGCGCCCGGCTCGCACATGGACGTCACCCTGTCCCGCTGTGGCCGCTTGTCCTTGTGCACGAGCGAGCACCGCGATAACCAGTCGGCCTCCAAGCGTGCACTTGAGGACCGTGCGGCGACCTTGGAGGGCAGCGCGAGATAAGGAGGCTGCGGCAGCGCACGGGAGATACGGGAGGAGCGCGGGGGCTGCAGCAGGGCAGCTGGCACAGGACCCGCTCCAAGCAGACACAACCCGCCACCCCTGTCTGCTCCCTGACCCTGGCACAGCCCTTCCCACTTCCCCATTTGAGCCGCTTTGGCGCATGCAATTTCCATCCCCGGCTGCTGTTTTGGGTGCTCAGGATGTTAACTCCTTCCTGGTCCCATGCACTGCCGGAGCAGGAGGAGAGCAGAGGGAAGTTCTTAGCGAGGGGGTATCTCATCACAAACGGCACGCGTTGCACAAAAGAACATTTCTTTTGGAACATAGTGACCACGTCCTCACTTGACTAGGGTATAAAACCAACCTGGAGCTTTCCAGGCTGGAGCACGGTTCTCTTGGGAAGCAGTGAAGTCTCCCCTCAAGTTGGGACGCCGCCTGCGGAGACTCCTTGAGGTTGAGGGTCCTCTCATCTTCTCGGGTGGTTACTGCGTATTTGTGCACTAGAGCTGTGTCCTTATCCACTGTCAGGGGAGGTTTTGATACGATCCCAAGATTAAGACATAAATGGGGTCAAAAGCCACACAACCTTGTAAGCTCCATTCTCATAACGAGCAGTAATCACGATAGGCCAGAGAGAGGAAGAAGAGAAAAAAAAGCTACGCAAGCAAGCAGGAGAGATGCAACAAGGTTAGTGACCACGACCACCAGTCCAGCTACAATTCATTGGCTCCCCCTCGGTGCAGGGGATGGACTCCTGAAGAAGAGTTCAGAAAAAAAAATAAGAAAAAAAACCTCAAGGGAGGAACAGTCATTTTATTGTCCCCGTTCTCCATGAGTCCACCTGCTTCCTCGACGTTCTTGGTGTGTTGGTCGTTCCCTGCGCTCTGGCGCTCATGGCAGTTTCCTCTTCACCTGACTCGCACAGTGTGGTGGTCTTCTCGGGGCAGGATGCCGAGGTCAGGAAGCTGTAACAGTGCGGCAACAACGTCGAGATAAACACAAGCCAAAACCATCTCTTACAGGCTGGCAAAGAACCCCACGGTGGAGGAGAGCAACTCCTGAGCTGACGCCTGCTCAGCAAACGCTGCATTTGAATAAATCCCTAGACACAACCTCGACCGACTGTTTCACATGTGGTTGGACCTGTAGCTGACAGACTGTTCTTGAGTCTGATACAGCCAGAGCCTGTAGCCACCACTGTATTTGTATGGTTGTTAAGAGGTGAGTCCAGCCACCCCAGCCCCCCTCACTTCTCGCCGTTGCCGGAGCACAAGGAGATTCATCTCTTACCAAATTTGCCCTCCTCGAAGCACAACATGCACCAGGGTGTTGCACGAGAGCCTGGAACCAGGGTACTGAACCAGGGTGTTGCACGAGGGCCCTGCATGAGGAAGTTACACGAGGGTCTTGCACCAGGGTGCTCTACCAGGGCCCTGCACGAGGGTCTCACCCCAGAGTGTCGCCCCGGGCGTTGCATGAGGGCGTTGCACGAGGGCATTGCACCAGGGCGCTGCATAAGGAAGTTACACGAGGGTCTCGCCCCAGGACGTTGCACCAGGACCCTGCATAAGGAAGTTACACGAGGGTCTCGCACCAGGGGCTGCACGAGGGTGTCCCCCCGGGCTGTCGCAGGGGCCGCCCCCGCTCACGCTCC